TTTTGTTTGGAATAGACAGTGTTAACTCACGAAGGGTTTTGAATTAGGGCAAAATAGTTGTTCAGTGTTTCTTGATTTTCCGTATTATTCCAGGTGATATCAATCCATAATGAAAATGCTTTTTAAATCACTAAAATGTTATAAAGATGCTTTTAAGCAGAGATGAATGTTGACTAGCAGTACAATCCAACACATGCGTTTCGCCTTATTTAGGACTAGTCAGTGCGATGTACCTGTATCGCATAGTTGATGTTCATTCTGAGGTTCGAACCTAATACTGTTTGCTTTAAACACCATTGCGTTATCGAGTAAACTGCTGAGTTCAGATCGCCACTAGTTTGTGCAATGTCGTGAAGTTTATTGGTCGTTTCTATCTTCCAACTGTTGTTTAGGACTACAATTGATCATTCAATGTCATTATTTTTATTATCCTTTGTAATGATAGTAAGAATAATATCATTGTATTACTAGTTGTCAAGTTTAAATATAAAGTGCATCAAGAAGATATTCTACTCCTATTATTTCTTCATATATTTATGTGCATAAACACTCATACACACAAATAAGCATTAACAAATAGATCTGATAAGACAAATAGAGAAAAATCAAAGAAATCCTTAATCCTATTTCTATCCATCTCCATATCTTTCAATCATAATTATATTGATAGAAATACTTACCTACTTACTTACTTACTTACGTCTGTTACTCCTCGTAAAGGAGCGTAGGCTGCTTACCAGCATTCTCCATCCAAACCTGTCCTGGGCAATCCATTCCAGCTCTTTTCAGTTGTTATTCATCCCTTTCATATCCGCTTCTATTTCCCGACGTAATGTGTTCTTTGGCCTTCCTCTTTTCCTCTTCCCTTCAGGATTTCAAGTTAGGGCGTGCCTGGTGATGGAATTTGATGATTTGCGTATTGTATGTCCGATCCATTTCCATCGTCTTTTGCTAATTTCCTCTTCAGCTGGAAGCTGGTTTGTTCTCTCCCACAGAAGGCTATTGCTGATGGTACCCGGTCAATGGATGTTGAGTATCTTGCGTAGACAGCTATTGATAAATAGTTGTACCTTCTTGATGGTGGTTGTAGTAGTTCTCCAAGTTTCATCTCCGTACAGTAGAACTGCGTTGACGTTCGTATTGAAGATTGTGACTTTGATATTGGTTGAAAGTTGTTTTGAGTTCCATATGTTTTTCCAATGTAGGAATGCTGTCCTTGCTTTGCCAATCCTCGCCCTTACATCTGCATCTGATCCTCCTTGTTCATCGATGATGCTTCCCAGGTATGTGAAGGATTCCACGTCTTCCAGAGTTTCTCCATCAAGAGTGATAGGATTGCTGTTCTCCATGTTGAATTTGAGGACCTTGGTTTTCCCCTTGTGTATATTGAGGCCTACTGATGCGGAGACTGCTGCTACGCTGGCTGTCTTCGTCTGAATTTGTTCGTATGTATGCGATAGGAGGGCTAGGTCATCTGCAATGTCCAAATCGTCCAGTTGGTTCTGAGCTGTTCATCGTATTCCGTGTTTTCCCTCAGATGTCGAGGTCTTCATAATCCAGTCGACCACCAGAAGAAAGAGGAAGGGAGAGAGTAGGTAGCCTTGTCTTACTCCGGTCCTTACTTGGAATGCGTCAGTCAGCTGTCTTCCATGCACCACTTTGCACTGTAGTCCGTCGTATGAGTTCCGGATAATGTTGACACTCTTCTCAGGAACTTTATAGTGTCGAAGAATTTTCTATAACGTTCTCCTATCTACACTGTCAAATGCCTTTTCATAATCAATGAAGTTGATGTACAGTGACGAGTTCCACTCAATTGATTGTTCGATGACGATCCATAGTGTCGCGATTCGGTCTGTGCACAACCGATCCTTACGGAATCCAGCTTGTTGATCTCGAAGTTGAGCGTGTACTGCGTCTTTCATCCGGTTCAGCAACACTCTGTTAAAGACTTTTCCTGGTACTGACAGTAGTGTGATGCCTCTGTCGGTTCCCCACTTGCTCAGATCTCCTTTCTTTGGAATCTTGATGATGTGTCCTTCTTTTCAGTCCATCGGCACTTGTTCCTCCTCCCAAATCTTCTTGAATAGAAGGTGAAGCATGTTTGTAGTTACTTCGATGTCTGACTTCAGTGCTTCAGCCGGTATATTATCGTGTCCTGCTGCTTTCCCGCTCTTGATTTGTCTGATGGTCATTCTGATTTCTTCGGCCGTTGGTGGATTGTCATCTATAGGAAAATCTGTGTGTGCTTCTTCGATGTCCGGTGGATTCATTGGAGCCAGCCTATTCAGGAGTTCCTCGAAGTACTCTGCCCATCTGTTCCGCTGTTGTTGAATTTCAGTGGTTGGTCTTCCTTCTTTGTCTTTGACTGGTCTCTCTGGTTTACTATATTTCCCTGCTAGTTCTTCGGCGTATTTCCGCTTGTTGGCTCTAATGCTCTTCCTCACTTACTTGTTTGCTTCTGTGTATTAAGCTTTTGCTTGGACTTTCTCTGCTCGTGTTCGGGTGTTGTTAATTGCTGTCATCTTGTTCTTCTTTTCTTTGATCCTGTCCAGTGTTTCTGCAAGGATCCATTCCTTATGATGATGCTTCTTTAGGCCCAGAACCTCTTGATACGTTGAAGTTAATGTTTCTTTGATATCTTTCGAGTTGTCCTTCATAGTAGTTTCTTCCTCCTTCAATAGATCCTGTAAGGCTTGGAACCTGTTGTTGAGAGCTGTCTTGAATTCATTGGGTTTGTCAGTATCTCGAAGGAAGGCTGTATTGAACCTTTGTAGTGCTGTTTGTCCAGTTGTCCAGTTCTTCTTTAGCTTCAGTTTTAAATTGGCCACAACTGGATGGTGATCTGGAGCTATGTCCGCTCCTCTCCTAGTTTTCACATCTTTCACTGTCCTTCGGAACTTTTTATTGATGCAAATATGATCTATCTGGTTCTCCGTGGTGTGGTCCGGTGAGATCCATGTAGGTTTGTGTATACGTTTGTGTGGAAATATTGTGCCGCCTATGACCAATTTGTTGAATGCACACAGATTTGCAAATCTTTCCCCGTTTTCGTTTCTCTCTCCCAGTCCATGTAGTCCCATGATATCTTTATATCCGGTGTTGTCTATTCCGACTTTTGCGTTTATATCTCCCATCAGAATGGTGAGGTCCTTTCTTGGGCACTCCTCTTTGATTGATTGCAGCCTCTCATAGAATTGATCTTTAATGTCGTCGTTGCTGTCATTGGTGGGTGCATAACGTTGGATAACTGTCATCGTGACTCCCTCCTTTGTTTTGAATGATGCTCTGATGATTCTGGATCCGTGAGATTCCCATCCTACAAGTGCATTTAGTGCTACTTTGGACAGCATTAGAGCAACTGTCTGAGTGTGTGGAGCATTTTCCTCTTTGTGACCGGAGTATAGCAGCATCTCTCCCGTACTTAGCCTTTGTTTTCCAGCTTGGGTCCAATGGGTTTCGCTGATTCCCAGTACTGCCAAGTTGTATCTCCTCATTTCCGTTGCTATTTGACTGGTCTTACTGGTCTCCCACATTGTCCGGACGTTCCATGTACCTATAAAAATTGTTGCTCTGGTTGTTAGAAGGGAGATCGGCCTCGTGGCTTCCGAAGGAACTCGGCTTTCACCATGAAGCGTTATATTTCTTCTAAATGAAGACCTAACTCCCAGTGCATAGTTTAAATGGTTTGAATTATTTTTTCTGGTTAGTTTTCTACGGGATGGGGTGGCTAACCCCATGCTCAACCCTCCTCCTTTACCTGGACTTGGGACCGGCATTAACACTCGAGGGGCTACAGGTGGAGTTATTGGTAGAAATAGTAAGGAGTAAATGAAAGTAATTTGGTTATCATTTCATCTTAATACACTATTCTGAATCAAAAACTTATGCACTATTGAAGCGTTGGTGATCCATCAATTCAAGCCTGAAGTCTATATTCAAAGATAATACGTCCAAACTTTCATCCTTCTATGACCCTAATTCTCTTCTTCAATAAACTATAAAGTAGGATACCTTAACCATCAAATGTAAACAAAGTTCATTCAACCTAACTTGTACTTTATTCATTACAGTTTGTTTGCTTTGCATAGTTTTTTTCTTCAAAAATGCTCGCATTCTTTCTGTTACTTTTACAATTTTATTGTTTCAATCTTTTTCTAAACAGTATTTTTTCAATCATGTAATATTCCACCAATCTATATATTCTCACTTGTTTACGAGTACAAGTAGTTGTGTAAATGAAGTGTTCATTAAACTCAACTTATTTACTTACTACTTTTTAAACAAACATTTACAAATCAATTAACGATCTAGTTACATTGTATAAATTAAAACAATTTATAAATTTACTTATAGTCATAAAAATGACATTTAAGTTACTTACTTACCTACTTACGTCCGTTACTCTCAGTGGAGCATAGGCCGTTAACCAGCATTTTCCAACCCACTCTGTCCTGAGTCTTCCTTTCCAGTTCTATCCATTTTTTGTTCATTCTTCTCATGTCTGTCTCTATTTATCAGCGTAGTGTGTTCTTTAGTCTTCCTCTTTTCCTATGGCTTTGAAGATTCCATATGTGGGCATGGCTTGTGACGCAGTTCGGTGCTTTCCTCAATGTTTGTCCTATCCACTTCCATCACTTTTTCCTGATTTCTCCCTTCTCTGGGATCTGGTTTGTTCTCTCCCATGGTAGGTTGTTGCTGATAGTGTATGGCCAACGGATCCGAAGTATTTTGCGTAGACGACTGTTTATAAACACTTGTATCTTCTAGATGATGGCTTTCGTAGTTCTATAAGTTTCCGTCCCATAGAGTAGAACTGTCTTGACATTTTGTGGTGTTTGAATGAAATAGTGATCCCTTTGTACTTGTTGAATGCTTGATTTCGGATTTCAAATACAGTACATTCGTTAGTTCTTGTGTAGTACTTCCTGATTCAATCGCGTTATTTCTGGGATTCTTAGTACTATAATTCAAATACTCCTAATCATCATATATTTGTATTGAAAATTCTGACCTTAGTGTTGGTTGCCAATTGTTTTGAGTTCCAGATGTTCTTCAGTTGTAAATATGCTGCTCTTGCTTTGCCGATCTGTGCTTTCAAAAAATGCTAACCAGAAAAATTATTCTTATTTATATAATATCTTTAAATTAATCAATCGTATTTTCTTATCCGAATCTGTTATTCATTTTGTCATCAAATAGAGTATCAATTGTTTATTAGGGAAGAAAAATTAATTTGTATTAAATGGTCACATATTAACCAATAGGAAAAGAAAAAAATTTTTTCTTTAACAAATTAATCCGTATACCATTAATTTTACGGAAAAATTAACCAATTAAATTTCTCCGGTATATATAAATATATTTCATTAAAAACAAAAAAAAATTTATCATTGGCATCAAATGTAACAATGAATGAAAGCTTTTAGTTAATACCAAAAAAAAAAAAAAAAAAATTAAAAAAATAAAAGCAGTCTGCACACTTGATAAATGCAAATCATTGACTATATAGTTCATCATTGTTAACGGATATAAAAACAAATGAACGGATTTACTATTGATGCTATTTTAGGCAATCAGATTGTACAACAGAATAATCGAACATTCAATAATATACAAATGATTGATGATAATCACACTGAACAAATTAATACTTTGTATAAAAATTCAACAATCAATACTAATATCAAAGTTAATAGTATATCAAGTAAATTATTATTTGTTTTGCAATACTTTACTTATTATTGTTATCAGTTTAAATATTCTTATATAATTGTAAAAAATAAATAATGATTAATTTAATAGTTGAGTTCATGATTTAATTAAATTTCGACCACCATAGAAAACCTGGAAGCACTAGACGGCTGTTTTGTCCTATTGTGGGACTCCTTAGCAGTGCGTATCCACGATCCAGCTGTGCGGGAATCGAACCCATGACTTATCAGTCCTGAGCGTGAGTGCTTAACCCCTAGCCAACTGAGCTGGCATCTAACGGTGTTAATGTCAATTGTCGGTTTATTTATGACATGATTATTGCTTACGTCGAAAACAATTGTAATCGGTGATTTGAACTGAAGTAATAAACATTGTTCTACTGTTTTAAGGCTATGTTTAATACAAATGCGAAGATGTTTTGGAAAACAGATGGTCTTTTGATTAGAATCATGTTTCAACTTATTCATTTCTTGATGTTAAGTGGTTGGAAATAATCATCAATAAGCCACAGATCTAGATTTTATATCAGTTGACACTTGTTTACAAGATATACCTTCAATATTGATGGAACTATTGTTCCATATAGGGATTCGAACTTGCATCACTCATTGTCACAGTGTTATCACTGAGTTATTTGAACGGATGTGATTGGATCAACACTAAAGATTAAAAAAATTAGCAGACTAGTTACTGCTTAATGATCAATCATTTTGTTATTTGTCTTTTTGCTATTTCTAGGTTGGTAATCTCTTGTTGTAGGTTGAAGAAATGCTCTTAATTTTTTTAATTTTTATACTTAGTCGTTATGCTTGGATGTTCTAGCACATTTCTTCCTCCATTTGTTAGATTTAGTAGTTTATTTTTTGATCTGAATTAATAAACTTTAGAAGTTAGTGATAAAAGTTATCGACGGCTTAACTCATAAGAAGAAATGAAAACACTTAAACTTAACAGTCAATAACTACTGAATCTGTTTTTAACCCAATAAACTATTTTTTTTAATTCAATGTGATTACTCATCACTAATTTAAACAAATAATATGGATTTCACAAGTGTACCTAAACTATTATTCTGTTACATCAAAGTGTATTTATTTACTTTGTATTGTGGATAAATCTTGATACATTGACTTATTAATGTTGCATTATTGAACTTAAATTGAATTACCGTTTTCTGTTATGTTCTATACAGTTCTATTGTATGACGACAGTTTAAACATTAACAAGTATACAGAAATAATGATTTTTTCTGTAAAAATTGATTTTACATTAAAATATGAAATATGAATCCGAAATGTTGCCACCGAATATACTATTGTTTGTTATTAATGAAACATAAATTTCCTTTTCATCATCAAGTCATCATAGGTCAAAGTAAATACTAGTAGTATTTCACAAGATTAGTTACCTGGTTAGAGTTTCTTGTTATATACTTTATGAAAATAAATTAAGCCATATATACCACTGATTAATTATCACTCAGATTATTTGGTGCAAAATTACTTGATAACTTGGCTTGGAATATAGAATTGATTGATATTTTAGTAAAATGAAGAAAAAGTGCCAATTTTGTATTAATAATTAAAATATTTTACAATTTTAGGTGACAGGAAAACATTTGAATCAATTCAAACAATTTTACCTGAATATACATTCAATGGACGTTTAAATTATAGTGAACTATCAGAACAGGATAAAAATAACAATACTGATCTTTTTGTAAACTCTAATAATTCTATTATACAAGATGATGATGATAATATTGCATACAGTTCAAAAATTTATAAAAACCGTAGTCCACGTATACCATTTTCACGTGATCAAATATTTGGATTAGAACGGAAGTTCCAGAATTCAAAATATTTAAGTGGATGGGAAGTGAAACAATTGGCAAAAAATTTAAATCTTACAGAAACACGCGTAAGTAACTTTGTTAACATATTTGATGATATTATCAAAATTCAAATGTACATATTTGAAAGATTGGTTTTTATCAGAAACATATGTGTATATGCTTAAGAGAAATGAAGTTTATAGATCCTGTTAAGCAGGTTTGTGAAGCGTCACAGTTTCCTTAGTAGCCTAATGAGTGAAATATTGTTGAGCACCCTTCTAGAATTCACTATTTTCTCATTAACTTAGAAATTTCATTTGGTCACTTTAGCAAATAGAGGGCTTATTATGTACAAAAACTCACTATTAAAGCATCGTCATATACAGCTTATAATGTAGTGGATTTCTAAGAATGACGTAATAATTATTTTAAAAGTTCTTTCCGTAATATTTACAACCAAGTCAATATGGAGACCGATTAGTCTAATATTGGAAATCTTCATTCAACTAGTAGATTATTAATGAATTCATACTAAATACTGCTCATCCAAATGATATAAATCTGTCCGTCAATGTGACTATATAAAGTCATATGGAAAATGGTGTATGCATATATCATTTTCATTGATTTTGGTGATCAAATAAATCTCTATCACCAATCTTTGGTTTTCATTTCATATCGTCGGACTTGAGATTTCAAACACTAGCTAGTCAAGTGGTTCCACATACATAACAGGTTTTCAGTATCGCAAGTGCCTCCTAGAAAATTTCTTATTTATCGGAAGCTATAGTATCCTTTCAATCTAGTACAAATTTACTCTGGTTGAGTAACAGTCACAATATATTTGTCGGGGGACAACTATATGCATTAAAGTTGTCTGTATGTGAAATAAAAAGAATATACATAAGATCGTTACTGATAATCAATTAAGCACAAGTTTAAATCAAATTGAACTTAGTCTGTTTATTCATGATGATTGTTATTCTTTAAAATCATTTTAATTTAATTGTAAATGATGTAATGAAGCCAAGATAATTGCATCATTAAATAAATAAATAAGCAATAGTGTTATTAATACATATATCTAATTAATCTAATCAAATTCTACAGTCCTATTTAAATGACATTATTCTATAATGTTAAATGTATGAATACATGTCAAGTTGGCTAGTCAGTTAGTTAGTGAGCAACTTAGTTAGATTAACCATCTGTTTAGATAATTATAAAAATTATAGAATGGTTTATTAAGATGAAATGATAACCAAATGACTTTTATTTACTCCTTACTATTTCTATCAATATAATTATGATTGAAAGATATGGAGATGGATAGAAATAGGATTAAGGATTTCTTTGATTTTTCTCTATTTGTCTTATCAGATCTATTTGTTAATGCTTATTTGTGTGTATGAGTGTTTATGCACATAAATATTTGAAGAAATGATAGGAGTAGAATATCTTTTTGATGCACTTTATATTTAAACTTGACAACTAGTAATACAATGATATTATTCTTACTATCATTACAAAGGATAATAAAAATAATGACATTTTGTTGTTACGTAATTATTCACGTTTCAAACTAGACATTAAATTTCAAGGAAAACAAAAATTATGAACTTATATTAGTAATTTATTGAATAACTAGGTTGAATTATGTATTAATCAATTAAGTTATCAAATCATATTCGAAAATGGTTTCTGGTAAACTAATATAATGATAAATATGTTCAATGTTGAGAATGATCCTAATGAGCGTATTTTTTCGGTAAAATAGATTAATTGATAAATAAAATCTAATAGATTTTAAATGTATACACATGAAACTACATAACCTTATTAATAGTAATAATATCAACTTCAAACTGTGTACAGATGAAAGTATTAAAGATATATTTTATTATGTTAAGTTAGAGCTTGTTGACAATATTTTTATTGGTGGATTTCAATGAAAATAAATAAATAATTCAAAAATGTAATCAGTAGATATTAAATTATTAAGTTGGAATGACAATTTACGTACTTATTTTACTTACTCCTGTTACATTCCATGTACATAAATAATTGGCTGTTCTGGTTGTCAGGAGAGGCATCAACCTCGTGGCATTCTAAGAAACTCGTCTTTCACCACGAGGCATCATAACTCTTCTAAATGAAGACCTTCTGACTCTCAGGACAGAGTTTAAATAGTTTGGGTAATTTTTTCTGGTTAGCGTTTTTTAGCGAGTTAGATTTCTACGGGATGGGGTCGCTAACCTCATGGCCGACCCTCTTCCTTTATCCGGGCTTGGGACCGGCAGTAGCCCCAGAGGGGCTCCAGGCGGAGATGAATGACAATCTAACTAACTATTTTTACTTATTTCAGCTATTGATTGATCTATCATGATTATTCACCATGTACAGATTATATCTTTCTAATAGTGTAGTTGACTACATAGGACAAAACTTCCTGTGAGAATTTTCAGAAACTCATCAATTATTTATTGATAAAACTAGGTTATGTTCAATTAAGTGGTTTGTACAGCTTTAAAGAAATCTAAGTAGTCACTATTTTCATGTTGTAAATATTTTTTTAAAATATAGTTCTCTAGATGTCAATCAGTATGAATTATTTTCGTATTCGAATACAAAAAATATAAATTAAAAAAAGTACTTCACGAAAACATAAATTTCTTTAAGCGATTCGATAAATTACATCAACGACTCACATGGTATGTATAATGACTAGTTTGACAGGTTACTGAACATTACAATTTAGGAAAATATTGTCTATAAACAGTTTCAGTTAGAAACAAATTTATTATCTATGTGTTATCCATTGAATACAATTAAATAATACACTCTGTAACAATCTTACTCTCTTAAATAATGTATTAAAACAAACAAAATGTTATAACGTTTATTTACATATGGAGTCTACAGTAGACTATCATATAATGTGACTGAATAGAAGAACTTGGTCATTGCCATACTACTACTACTACTACTACTACTACTACTACTACTACTACTACTACTACTACTACTACTACCACTCCTACTACTACTACTACTAATAATAATAATAACAATAATAATAATCGAAAGAAATATTTTAATTTATCTTTCCATTTTGTATTCAGTACACAGTTTACTGATCTAATAAAGACTTAAAACTGATTATAGCCAGTATATTGGTGTAAGATTCATTAAAATACATTTGTGTATACCTGTAAATGAATGTTACACATCTTAATAGAGTAATTTTTTGTAAACATTAAGTAATATGCAACCAGTGGCCAAGCAATTACTATCCAATAAGACAAATAGCAACTCATAATTTACCTAAATGGTAATTGAATTATTTTATCTTCAGAATAATCTGTACACAGTCTAAATAATGTAAGGTAACTTTAATTAATCTGTGAAAAAAACTATATGTTAATAACCAAAGTAATTACTAAACTTTCGAACCAGTAAAACATAACATTTCGAAATAAAATACGAAAAAATTTAATGGTAGTTTTGACGATAAAATTCTTTCAAAGGCAAGAGCAACAGGAAAAAAGAGGAATACTGAACTCGTATGCAATCACAAAGTAATATATTTTCTTATCTTGTGATTACATGATTCCAGTCAATCGTCGACGTTGGACAATCATAATGTAGTGTTGTTGGGGTTATCTGTATCATCCATAGTCTGACCGAACCTAACTGATCATAAACGCTTTATCTAATTAGCATAAATAATCGTTTGATATCAAACGCCATGCCTACTGAACGATGTCTAATTAATACAGGAGTTTGAATTCACTGACTTATATAATTTCCTTGAGGAAAGATCTCTGTTGAAATCGCTTCAGATCACCTACATGTCAGTGAATTTTTCACATTAAGGAGATTCCCTGGGGTTTGCTAATTTTCAGGCTGGTTCTTATTATTGTAGGTCGGAATAAGGTAGGAAACAATTGGAAATATGTCAATCAAGACTGATCAAATTTCAATCAAAGTTTAAACAACAGGATAATCCAAACTATTTTAAACCGCATTAAAATTCATACACATTTCACAAGTGAATGGCCGTTTTGACACAGTAGCTAAGTCGATAACGCAATAGCATTTGACGCAAACAATACTGAGGTTCGAGTCTGGGAGTGTATATCAACTCTGAGTTCCAGGTTTATTCAACTGACAAATCAAAACGCGGGTACTGGTTTCAGCTACTAGCCAAAATTTGATCAAATCTATACTGAATATATCATCGTTTATGAGTTACTTAAATAAAAATATTGCTGTAAATTTGTTGTCATAATTTGCTAAGCCAATTTGTTATCTATTGTTGTTGTTTCTTTTGTAAAGGTTAAAATATGGTTTCAAAATCGTCGAGCTAGAGAACGTCGCGATTCTATTGAATTTAATTCACACAATGCTATGAAATCTTTAAAAACAGATAGTGATTATTTTACACAATCTTATCATGAACATGATGATTATATAATACAAAACAGTTATAATTTAGGTTCGATAGAAATCGATAATCAAACTGATCATCAATATAAACACAATAATTCATTTTCAGATTCCTCTATATCATCTTTACCATTTAATGCATTCCGTTCAAACTTACAAAAATCAGACTTTATTTTCAATTTCATTCCGGATGTTAAACAGCCATTAAATCAGACCAATAACGAGTTATTAATCCCAGTATCGATCAAGAATAATTTCGTGAATAGGGATAAACAAAGTGAACTATTAACTGACATACCTAACATAACTGCTAATAAAGCTATGCAACATAACAATAATAGTAACGATAATAATAATAATAATAATAATAATAATAATAATAATAATTTCATCATACCTGTAACTCATAATTCAGATGCATATTCAACTATGTAAGAATATTTCTAGTTTTTATTAGAGAGCAAAAGATGTAAAAATAAATTTTCATTATTTTTAATGTATATTTTTGTATTATTTATACTGCCTAAACAAAAATTTATTCAGAAATATATTCATTTTGCTTCATATTTGGTTCTTTATAATTGGCTGAACTAAATATTAAGCGAATTTTAATGTCTAATTTTTCATTACTTCTTCAAAGCGAGAATGTAATCTTTTTCAGCAAAATTATTATACGACAGCTGATTTATAGGAATTTTAGTCTCCTGTTTTCCAGGGTTTATTTGAATGCTAACTTGGAAATACTCTGCATACTTCATTGATCAATCACTATAACGAATCATTATATGGATCCAGAAACGTGAGTGTTAGTTTAATTGTTAAAGTGACTTTTAAACAACTTGAGAAAAATATTTCCACAATGTGTACGTTGTTTGCACCGTATTCATGTTACTCAACGGATCAAAAAAGTAATCACAACTTTTCCATAAGTATTTAAATGTTTACTTAATGTGAACGTGATCAAGAGGGTTAATAATTATTCACATGGTATGATGAACAAAAGTAGTAGAATTAGATGAAGTATGTAAACCAGTATCTCCCTCAACTATTCAATACGTACTCTAGTAGTCACTGATGATTCAGCATTCAAGTCAGAGAGAATACAATGAATATATATGGAGGTATTATTTTATAGTTCAAAAAGCAGTTATTCAGCGGACGTATAAAACTATAAAACGTTCTTCAGTCAATTAATACTCCAAAACTTATAAAAAGAACAAACACACGAAAATAAGTCCATAAACTCAAATATATAATAAAAAATTTATATATATATATATAAAGTATGAGTGTGTGATATGTTGATACCCAGTAATTACAAGAGGAGCAGCACAACTAAATAACATAATTAAATAACAATAATAATACAGATACTACTAAAAATGATGATAAACCGTTTAATTAGACACACAAGAAAAAAAATCAAATTTGTCCGCAAATTGAAATATATTTATTTAAGTGAGCATGTGATGTTCAATAACAACAACGGGAATGAATGAACAGAAAACAAATTAAATAGACGTAAATATGTTTGGTTAGGGAATATTTATAATATTTAGATAGCAATGTGTACATAACGTTAAGGTCTATTGATGATTCCTCAGTAGCGAGTTATAGATAAGTTCGTGTTTATTCATTTGGCGTCGTTTTTTGGTTTTGATGGTTCCGTAAGGTCAGGACCTATATTTTACTTTAGGATCAGCTATTTTTATTGACTATTTAGGAAGGCACGTTTTAGTCTGTCTATAAAGAAAGTGTTTTCCTTACTATTTTACTGAGTGATGAAATATTTTTCTGTTTATTTTACGACTTCAAGTGGTGGGGTTGGTGGGATACCGACAGCACCGATTTGAACAAAAGCAAATTTGCATGTTTTTTAGATATTTATTAACTTGTTCGTAGTGTACGTTCACATGTGTGGGTATTAGCTTTAGTTGCTATGTGGTTCGTAGTAGTGTGCTTGTAAAATTTATTGTATTTCCTTGTGGTTTTTAATCGTTACTAAATAGTTAGTCAAGCAGCTCTAAAGTCGTTACACATAATAAATTGGCTAATATGCATCCCATGTCTTCTTTCGTCTTTGGAAGTATTCCTAGGAGAGTAAGGGGTAGGGCAGTGATCTACTTGGCTGTATTAGCCAGAGGCATATGCGAGCTTCTTAATTATCGGTAAAATCTTTCCACGAGGCCTTTAGCTACTAGGTGGTAGGCTGCTGTTTTTATGTAGCATGTTCCTAATAGTTTAGTGAATTCTCGGATCACAACTGAATGAAAATGAGCACCCCGATCAGTAGTGACGGTAAGTGGGACGCCGTAATATGCAATCCAACGATCAAGGATTACTGAAGCAAACAATTTTGATGAAGTCTCATTTATGGGACAGGCTACAGTTCATCTAGCGAGTCCATTTTTGTCAATAAATTTATGAACAAAGGAATTGGATAATGGAAAGGATTGACGATGCCCAAGTGCACGTGGTGAAATTTTCTATCTGGTGTTTGGAATTTACCTAGTGTGCAGACTGTGTGTAGTTGGATCTTGTTGTGTTGAGACTTGATGAACATCCCCGCCACATTCTAACATCTGCATTCATATGACATTAAACGAAACGTCCTGTTATATATCTGGTTGTTGCTAGAATTCCAGCGTTTGATAACAAATGAGGGTGTTGAAAGGACGACTAGTATTTGTGTGTGGTGTTTGAATGAAGTGATGATTTCTTTGTACTTGTCGAATGCTTGATTTCGAATTTCAAATACAGTACATTCGTTCGTGATTGTCTAGTACTTCTTGATTCAATTGCGTTATTTCTGGGATTCATAGTTTATACTATATTTCAAATACTTCTAATTATCATACTGTGGCAACATCCTAAATGATAATAGAATCCGTAAAAGGAGTTGAGACCGGTTTAAGCAATAATGTAAATCTTTCTTCACAGACTTTTAAATCAGTATAATCTGCCTGTGCATTTGAAACACACTAAATCAACATTTGGCCTCTGGAGTAAAGAACTGATTTCTGTTTGGGATAATGCATCAGCTACTATATTTACATTCACTTTACGAACTAGAAATCCCCGAAAAATTCAAAATCAGGCATGCAACGAATACAAAAGAATCACTAGTTCATACTGAATATACCCCAAGTATTTGGACTTTGATAATACCTTAACCAGTAACACCTTTAATTAAAACGTGCCCATTCAGTGAAATTAGAAGTCAGAAGCGAAGAGGTTCGAAGATATATTTATTGATATATATATCGAGAAGTGACTGGCTAGCAGTTATAGATGTTGGGCATAGCGTTCACAATCGTGAACTGGTGCGCATGCGTGACCGAACGCCTTCATCTGGGCGGGTCCATAAAAACTAATATGGTCAGCATCAAACGTTGAAGACTTAGAGAGCTATTGATTTTGAGGATTTATTTACCGCTACAATAAAACCACCACACGCAGGACGTTTTAGTCTGGGCAGTATTGGTGGGGTTAATTTAACCTCCTCACCGGTGTTAACGAGAAATTCCTTGCCTGATATGGTATCTTAGATGTGAAGATGTAGTGGCTGTGCTTCGTTAACGAACTACCCTCGTAACCGTTATCATATAATCCTCAACGGTGTTTGAAGTCAGAAGGCGAAGGGAAGCAGCGACTACAGTTTTATTAGCAGATAACTGAAACCACAAAGCAGAGAGATAAATGAGTGAGTCAGCTAACAAAGAGTGTAGTGTTATATATATATATATATATATATATATATATATATATATATATATATATATATATATATATATATATATATATATATATATGGAAATGAATGGATCATCGAATTAATTAAGCAGATAACAATAAAGCTAGCAGAATGAATATATGCGTAGGCGGTAAACAATGTTCAAGCATACATATTTCATACAAGCACAACAATAATAAAGGTTCAATAAGTTGTTAGAGGACAGATGATTGTGACCGCTAAATAAGTCAACAAAAGGGCTTAACCGGATTAAATGAAAACAAGCTCAATTGCACGTGAGTTGCTATAAAGACGGCTAATTATGTGGCCAGGGATAGTTGTCTGGCTGGCCAGTTTCCAGAGAGGTCTCGAACAGTTGGTGGAAAGCCATACGATCTTGTGGGTTTCCGTTCATTTTTACCATACTCCTTACGGTACCAATTGATATATACTGTTGGTTTTATTAGTCTTGACCCGAGTCTGTAGAATGGTTTATTTCTAAAAGAAGACCTCATAATCAGGGAGTGAATGATAAATATTGTTATGATTTTTGCCCCTGTCACTTATCACATTACAAAATAGCCAGTCAAAATACCTTTTTATATGACCTATTCCCTGTGCTAGACTAATGATAAGCGAACCAACACTGGAAGTCGCGCGTCAAGTCTGAGTTCTTTTTCTTCATTTGACATAGTACCTTATAGCCTAGCCCAACCCGTTCAGTCAAGAACATAGATATCAGCCTCCGCTGTGTGAATCGTATATTTCGGACATACGCAGTTTAAATAAAGTCAGACCAGACCGCCACCATAAGATGAAAATTACTAATCGTACAAGATCAAGTCAATGTGGCTATATGCGTGGGATACTGTAACTGATAAATTCGGAATAACGTAAGCAAGCTAAATCGTTCAATAGTAGTCAAAAGATCACAGCAAATCTTACGACAAAAGGAATGTGAATATATATGTAATAAAGCTACTTAATAATTATCCAATAAGAATATATGTAATACCTGTCTGTAACTAAACCCTAGAAGTTAACATTTATTTGTTCTTCGTACAGACACAGAAGATAAGATTGCTTGTAGATGTGTAAATTGATGACTTGGATCTAAAATCAATTGTTGCAGAACTGCCATATCTTCACTGAGAATGGCAATATACATTCACATGGTACGGTAATCTGTGTAACCACATCTATCTGAAAAGCTAGCCGTCTAGTTTGTTGATTACGACCAACCGTTTCGTGTGCCGTGAAAAGTGAAATCGCTCCCTGTCAACAAGGTCACAAGTCTCCAATAGACGCAGGAGTCTCTCTCGTTTGAGTGCAGCCTTTAGTTTGTCACACGGTACCTCCTCTGCTTTTTGGTCGACGAGACCATGAACTTCAGACACAAATTCTATGTGGATTGCATCCACTATGAGTGCATATTTGGTGTAATTCAGGAACTAAAACTGAGGTTTCTACTTGTATAAACCGAATCCTAGAATTCTTTGCACTGCAAGCCGGGCAGAGATCCAAAGTGGTAATGTGTAACTAAAAGTTAATATGCTTTATGAAATGAGATAAAACGTGTACAGCCTGAGTGTCAATAGATAATTAGAAAACGACATCCAACAAAGTCAGAACGAGTTGTGTATACAAACACATGTATTTAGCGAACGATAATCATTAAGACATCAGAATGAATAGGATTAGA